ATAGTGCACTAATTTTTAAAATTATTCACATAAATTAAGTATATAATGTGCGCAATATTCACATGTTTTTGAGGTGAGATTTTATACACTGCTCACGGCTGATCTATTTTAACCTTTATCCTGTGGGATATTGAAGAAATCCACAAATCGCCATCATTACAATAGATTTTATATTATAAAAATTATTAAATAAATGGATTAATCTTACCAATCTTTTAATGACGCGTCTAACATCTAGTAGGCTGGTATATTTAATCTTTTAGAATCCGTTCCTGGTTTTGCGCAGGAGTACCGATTGTATATCATTTATCGTTATCGCGTTAATTCGGTACGCCCATGAGCGCTAATTCGCGACCATATAAGTTATTTTTGAAGGATCCGATAATTTCCACGAACGTTACCGTTATTTCGTGCTTATACGATGCATAATAATCCGAACATATGCGAAAAAAAGGGCTTAATCGACTGATTTAACGATAATCCAATGATTCACATTCCATGCCTTTCGTGTAATTTACCAATCATGCGCTTTTCAAACCTCTTCAGATCATAAGAATTGAAGATCTTGTAGATTTTGTAGGATTTTACCTTTGGAACAATCCAGAAATTTCAAAATTCTCAATCATATAAATCATAAGGTCGCACATTTTTGCAAATCGTTATAAAATATTTTATTAGAGGAGTGCCGTTATTACGTAATTTCAAGAGGGTGGAAGGGGGTCAGCAGTCCATCACGTCTATATATTATATATGAAAATTATGATTTGCTAATTCGATCACAGAAGGGGAGGGTACATTATGACTTTATAACAAAAAGAAATTACGTAATAAACGGCACTCCCTTTAATATAAGAATAAAGAAAAAATTAAGCGACTAATAAATCTAGTTTTTTTTTATTCTCTGAAAATAAGCAGAATTAAAAAAACAATTCAACTCTGAATAGAATCAATTACCCATATTTATCTATAGATTTTAAAGATTTATATTCCTTAATTCACCATGTACATTTGGCATATATTTATTTTTATAACGTCAATTTTACAAATTGTTAATGCATTACCTCGTAAATCATCTAAACCATACACAATTACACTAAAGAAAAAAACAATTTCTAAGTCAAATATATTGCATTATGTTTCAAGTCCGTCTACTACTATTAACATAAAGCGAGCTGCTACAGAACCTTTAAAAAATGAATTTCATCATGATTTTGCGTATTTTGGTGAAGTTACTCTCGGCGGACAAAAATTCAATGTAATGATTGATACTGGATTTGGTGATTTTTTAATTCCATCTATAAATTGTACTTCTTCTGCATGCGAAAATAAAGCCAAATATAATCCAGAAAATGACAAATCTTTTGAACAAGGTAGAGTTTATTCGAACCTTAAATATTAGCAAAAAGTTAAAATTGCTCTGAACCTCTATGCATATGTATTTATGAAAAAAAAAAAACACATAAGGTGTGAATCACGACAAGACGACACCATGTTGGAACTTTAATACAAGTTTGAGGTGTTAATCCGTTTTGTTGTATATTCCCATTGTTTCAAATAGTAAATCACCATTTTAGGAATGAAAGTTAATCCAGTAAGACACAAACTTCTAACATCCCTCAATCTATCCTAGACCTGAGTTGTAAGATTGCACACTTTTACTATTCGTGAAAAATATTGCCACTATGAAAGTACATAAGAATATAAATCTAAAATAGCTTAATTTAATTGACAGGTAAGATTTTAAATTTTTTTCTTAAAAAACTTTAGACTTTTATTATCAGCATAATGAAATACATCAAGTATTCAAAATAAAAACTTCATATGCAAATGGTAATCCTCAACAAGATACTAAAAAATCAAAATTAAACGCAATTCTGTATAAAACTTCAAATTCTAAAAAATTTTGCAAAAAATTCTGCAAAGTTATACTTAATTTTTCTGATATAGTATTAGAATAAAAAAATTTGTATTGTAAAATCACTCTAATAGCTCTTTATAGTTAATGTTAGAATAAAAAAGTTTTTATAAAATTATTTTAATAGCTTTTTATAATTAGTATTAGAATGAGAAGATTCATATTATAAAATTATTCTAATAACTCTTTATAATTATTATTAAAATGAGAAAGTTGTGTTATAAAATTTTTCTAATAGCTCTTTATAGTTAATATTAGAATGAAAAGTTTGTATTATAAAATTATTCTAATAGCATCAGGAAATTTTAAAACCAGATTATAATCGATTGATTTTAACCGATTTCTATCGCTAAAGATGTTGTTAATCGATTGAAATCAAAATCGATTATAATCGATATATATAACAATTAGGGTTCCTAGGTTCAGTTCAGTTCAGGTTCAGGTTCAATGAACCTGAACCTGAACCTGAACTTCAAATTTTGCA